ACGAGACAGACAAGTTCCATCCCTCAACAGCAGGCCAGGGGTTGAGTAAGCTGCCCCATGGTCAAAGAACCCAAAGTTCCTTTCAGGGGTATAACCCATCAGGGGTATAACTCTTAGCATGGGTATCAAAACCCTGTGTGGGCTTTTATTATCAGCTTGTATTACTAACAGGCTGTTCAGCTCATGGTTGAGATTACCTTAGTGATGTGTCTCTGCCTTCTGTGCTCCATTGTGTATGTCATCAGGATTCCTGCGGCTGTGCTGAGGAGTAGCTGTAGTTTTTAACCTAGGATCAGATAACTGAACGGTAGTTCCAGTCTTGTTACTGGTTGCAGTTTGCAAATCCTGCTGCAGGAAGATGAACATAAGCTGCATGTAATCAATTTAACAAATCACGAGACTGATGTTTTTATCCAGTTGATGGTTTTTTCCCTCTGTGTCAGTTATGTTGTAATAGGAGGTTATGGTGTCTGGGGAAGATTAGACTTCATCATGTTGTAAGATTAGTTTGCATTGATTAATCTTGGAATATATCTCATGCTACATGACAAAGCTAGAGTAAGAAATATTTCACTTTTGTGTGAAAAAGGAATAAAGACATATAGAAGTTGTATACCATCTTTGAATGTTCTGAATTATTTTTAAAGCTAGTACTATTAAAATCTTTATTGATATTGAATAGAAAATAAGATTTAATTTCAGAACTAAGAATAGCTTTAGTTTTTAGCTACTCTTTAAGCTATCAACTGAAGTTGAAAATATCCTGATCTTCTAATTCAGGCAAATAACAACTTGAAGTACTTTGTTCTAACAGCTGGGATTGTCTATATTTTTTTTTTAACTTGTATGATGTAACTTGATGTAACTACTTGTTTGTAGGATCAAAGGTTTTGTAAATCCCTATCACACAGCAGTATTTCAATGTGCCATGCCACTGCTGTTCAGAAAGGGTACCTTTTACAGGTATCTTTCTTAAATTTCTGTGTTTTTGCATAACCATATGGTTTACTTTTAAGTTCTTATCTCCCTTCAAGGGAGCAAAAAAAATGACATGAGAAGGCAGAATACCTCTTGTACAGATGTATTGCTTTTCAAGAATGAAAGGTGGATTGCCTGTGCAGCTGTATCAGTGGGTTTTTGGAATGAGAGTAGGCTTGACTGAGTACACAGTTGTAGTTCAGAGTGATGTTCAACATTTTGTAGCTGAGTTTTTTCAACACAAATAGCTTCCCATACTAGAAATAGAAGTTACTTCCTCAGAAGTTACTTCCTCAGCATGCTCTATCTGTCAGATACTTAGGACCTCTGAAAACAAGAGTTCAGAGTAAGTGCTGTGGTAGCTTTCTTTAGTGTCTGTAAAGGTGATAAATTCAATTTAAAAAACCCAAAAAATACAGTAAGTCTATTTCTTCATTAAAATAACAATTTTCAGTTTAGAGGTTGGAATGAAATTGGAAGGAAACTCAAGACTTCTGCAAAAAGAATGAAGGTCTTTGGTCATCATGCTCTCTGTACAGACAGATTTTTCACAACACAAATGCCAATGTGCTCTCTGCTATATGACTTCAGATCTATTCTCTGTATTAAGTTAGCACATTCTAGACAGTTTTTGAAGTCAACCTAATCTCTATTTCTGGTAGTCTCATTTTTTCTGTAATTCCAAGTGTTTTTTTCTTCCTCATGTGTCCTTGTACTACTTTGTAGAATTCCAACTAAATAGAAAATATATTTGTGGGTGTTGCATCTCCTAGTGTGGTAGATCTGCATGAGAGCCAAGATCTTTTCGGCACAGCATGGACAAGGGCCTTGATGCTTTCTCCGGAATAGGTCGTGCCTGTTGTTCACTACCCTAAATGTCATTACTGGTGGATGCTGCTGCTAAGGTATTTGTATTCCCACACTGGCCATTAAGCCATAGGATAATCTTGGGAGTGTAGCGTGCAGCAGCAATTGTGCTTTTCATAGATGTCCTCAATGACTCATCAAGCCCTTGGTCTGTTATCCTGAGACCTTGTGTGATTAGGGCTGGAGAAATTATGGAAGAACTGTCTTTAGGCAGGGTCTGAGCCAGCAGTTGCTCCTTATCCCTATAAAAATTGAACACTTCCCAAAATTTACAAGGCAGACTGATTTTCAGAGCCTTGTAGTAGGAATTCAAAATTCTTTCTGATGGCATCTGAAGTCTTATTGTGATGTATAAAAATAAATCTTCAGTGATGATTAAGGGTATGTCTGTGTAAGACACAAAAAGAAGATTTAAAGAGGTCTAATTTGTAGTTGCAATGAGCTCTACAGTGCTTGTGTTTCAAAGGGATGGCCTTTCATATTTATTTTATCCAGTTCGGAAAATGCCAGAAAACAAGTGTGAATAAATGTAAGTAGAGGTTGCAGATTGTGTCTCTGTTTTCTGAAAACTCATCTCTTTACATGTTTTCTTACTTTTAAAATTGTTATTCTTGTGCTGTATCATCTTCTGCAGAAGGTAACTGCAGGTTAGTTAACCATTACTATGTTTTGCCAGTACAATTTGGGGTACATTGAGAACTGGGCTGATACTAACATGTACCAAATCCTACTATGTAGGAATGCTGCCTAGGATGCCAAATCCAGGTATTTAATGATATTACTACAGAAATCCAAACCCACTTTTTTATTCCATATCCATAGATTTGAAAAGCACGTTGTGCAAAAATACAGCTAATTTCATGCTTGGTTGATATAGTCAAGTAGTATTTTCAGACTGTTACCAGTATTTTGTAAATAATAGCACTTGTGCTTGGATATTGAGACTAGCCTACTAAGTACCCACATGAAGATTAAGCAATGTGGAAATTTAAGAAAATTGTTACCCCACTTTAGAATCAGTGTACTGACACTTGTTTTTCATGTTTTTAATGCAGATTTACCTTTGTTTCAGGTTATACACCAGGGACCCCATATAAAGTATCTTGTTCACCCACTAGTGGAGCAGTGCCACCATATTCTTCATCACCGAATCCCTATCAGACTGCTGTGTACCCAGTTCGAAGTGCCTATCCACAGCAGAATCCATATGCACAGGTAAATGAACAAAAATCCACCTGTTTGGAGTACTTTTTCACCTTGTAATATCCGCTTGAACTCTTAACTTTGCAACACGTTTATTCCTTCATGGATGGAGAAGAGTCTTAGCTGCCCACAGTAAGAATTCTTAATACAGTGATTTACAGAGTATGTGTGTGCACTTGTACGTTCTCTCTCACGTGACAGTTACTGTGCACTTACTGGTAATGTGTTCAGCCTTTGAGGAGACACGAGATTCAGTAGTTTTAAAAATCTGTACTGGATGCTATAACTACCACATCCTCATTTCATTTTGTCAAAAATTGTCATAAACTTGCATTAATCTTTTGTTTTTTTTAGGAAGCTTCTGTTGTGATTCAGGAGGTTACCAAGCCTCATACTAGGCAAACTGTTGAAAACTATTAGAAGGGATAGAATTAGGACACTTAAGTAAACATGGTATTTTGAGGAAAATTGTCACATAGAGGAAACTTGGCTGGCGTATATGCAGTAGTTGAAGGGAGTTAATAAGCGTGTAACAAGGTTCACTCTTCTTAGAGTATTTGGATTTGTCAAAAACCTTTGGTTCTTTAACTAAAAGCAGCTGAATAAAAAGTTGTGAAAGAATGAGAGAAGTTCTGTAATGGATTAATATATAAAAAGATACGAAATGAAGTGAATGAATGACGAATGAGCCCTTACTGTTGAAGGTACAGTTAGCACTGGAGTTCTACAAAGGTACCTGCTTTGAGTGTTATCCTAAATGCCTTTGAGAAGGGCTAAACATTAAAAAGTTTGTCAGTGAAATGCAATGGGAATAGCTGAAATGAGTGTGTTGGCTTCTGCTCTGTAAATACATTGCATCTTTAGAATAATGCTTTTATTTTATGATACATTTATGAAAGAAGACATTTATCTTCCCCACCAGATATACTGTAATGGCTTACTTTTTTTTTTCTCTAACAGCAAGGCACTTATTACACACAGCCTTTATATGCAGCACCACCCCACGTAATTCACCACACCACAGTTGTGCAGCCTAACGGCATGCCAGCAACCATGTATCCCGCTCCGATTCCGCCACCAAGAGGAAACGGTGTGACTATGGGGATGGTGGCTGGGACTACTATGGCAATGTCAGCAGGTATGTGAACTTAGGACCCCTGTGTTTTCTTGATGAAGCTCTACTGTCAGTTCGAGACAGAACACAGCTGCGTTACAAAAATGCGATGCCAGCGGTGTATGTGGCAGAATCATAAAATTCTTCAGATTAGAAGGGACTTCTGTAGATCGTCTAGTCCAGCACCTTCAAAGCGGGTCCTGCTAGGTGAGGTTGCATACTTGTTCAGTGATATTTTGATCATCTCCAGGTGTGGAGATATCATGTTGTCTTTTCAGATAGTGGTGTTATGGCAAAATAGTTTCCCTTTGTATCTGCATGGAATTTCACTTACTCTGGCATCCTTTGCTGCTTATCTTACCAGTGTCAAGAGTCTGACTTCCTCTTTTCAATACATTTCTCTATGTCTAGTTGAAAACAGCCTCTTAAGGCTGAGGGAAATGCAGTGTTCTCAGCTCACCCGTTGTATTACTGACCTTCTTTGTGTGTGTATGCTCAGTGGGTGTTAACTCACGAAGTGTCGACATTCACATAAAGGACGCTCAGTTGAGTAATCTAAAAACCCATGAGCCATGAGCTTATTTTCAGATTCTGGTTTTTATCTTGTCAAATTTATCATTTAATTTGAGGAATCTTAAAACTAGAGAAGTTACGTGTCCCAAACTGAGCTAACATTGGGGTTTCATATGTTGGCAAGCTTATCCCAGGTGTTGCTGTTTCTACAAGGTGCTGTAGAGTAAGGCTGTTAAGATCCTGCTATCTAAGCTTTTTGTTGCTGAAGCCCTGTGGTCTTGAAAAACCTATTTATAATAATGCAAACAAGAAGTCATTTATTCTGATTTATCAGTCCAGTTATCTCTACCATCACATATTCTTATGGCATGTAGAGCCTCCTGTGGGGAAAAAGTTTTGCAGTGAATAATGCTTATGTTGCAGGGTTTTTGCTAGAGCTATTTTTGAGTAATGAGTATCTTTCTGTGTGTTGGACTAAACATCAAAATAATCCCCTTGCATAAGTGTTTGAAGGAAGATTGGGGCTGGAGTGCAAAGGGTACTGGTAATTTTAAATCAGAAGACAAGCAAGCTGTAATTGTTTTTAAAATTAACTCTCCCCAC